GGCGGAACGTATTTTACATAAGAATTAATTATGGTTTTAAGTTGAGGTGAAAAAAAGTTAATGGCACGAGCGCGATTCGAACCCACGATCTTCGGCTAGATACGCAGCTGCTCTACAACTTGAGCTATCGTGACCTCGATCCACTCGGACATCAACTTCCTATCTCAACCACACCTTATGAGATAGGAAGTTGATGTCCGAGTGGATCGAGGTCACGATAGCTCAAATGGTAGAGCAGCGGCGTATCTAGCCGAAGATCGTGGGTTCGAATCCCGCTCGTGCCATTAACTTTTTTCATCTCAACTAAAAACCTTAATTAATTATAATGTATTAATTGGTCAAGCGGACCACGAAATTACTGAATTTTACATAACATTTACAAACATTAATTATTATTATTAAAATTTATAAACAATCATCGGTTACATTTAAAAAAATATATTTAACCTTTATATTTAATTCGATTTTTATATTTCTAGTTTAAAGAGTATGAGCATTTTACTCGCCTTAAATGTAAGTGTCGTGAGACCTAGTGGGTTTATATGTATCTTTTTTTTTACGAGGGTTCGCAACAGCAGAGGTTATATTAACCCTCGGGGTGCCGGTGTTTATGAAAAAAAGCCCATTTGTACATTTGCAAGTATGTCGGGTTCGTATGCAGGGCCGCTGGATTCGAACCCGGGGCCTTTACCTTACAGTGATGAGCGCCGTGTCAACGCCTAAACCTTTGCGCCCACCGACCGAAGCCCCCTACTACCCTTGTTCTAAAAAATATGTACAATTATTTTACCTATTAGAATTAATAAAAATGGGGTGTCTATGTCGATTCACTTTTGTAATTTTTATCTTCTTCTTTTTTTATTTATTTACAATAATTTTTACAATAGTAGTTTCTTATTGTTTTTACTTTTTTCTGAGGTAAAAAATGTATTTCTAACAAAACAAAAACAAATATATTTTTATATCTTAGGAAATAGTAAAAACAATAAGAACCTACGATTGAACAATAACAGAATTCTTTGTCTTGGGCGAACATAATCGCAAAATGTAATCTTAAAAGTTGAAATGAAAGTTTTCTTATGTAGCAAAAGGACTTAATAATATTGTTGGATTATGTTGTCTATGTTTGGAGGGAGATGAGGTACTCATACAGAAGGGATTTAAATGAGCTAAGTTAGCTTTCCGGATTGGTAAAAGAAGAGAATTTACGACATTTGTGGCTCGAACTAAGAAGGACCGCACAAATGTGGAAGTTTTATGACCAGGGAGATATCCATCATTGGGAGGAGTGTTTAGAAAGTGGATAGAAGATTTGAATTGGAGTAGCTAGAAAATATAGTACGTTCGACCACAGTTTATCGATTGGAGCAAAGGAAAGAGCCTAAGAAATACTTCCCCGGAAGGAGGAATGAACCAAGAATGGGTCGGAATACAGGTGTGAGACTCAGGAAATTCGGGTGGGGTGCCGAAAATAAATCTGACACTACAATTCATACAGATTAGATAAGATATTACATAATATTGAAAGATAAGATAAATTTTACTATCAACGTTCTTCTAACCAAGGATACGCTTTAGTTATTTATTATCTATATATTCGACAGAATTTGGTAAAAATCTTTAATCTTTTAAAAGTACAATTTACCACTGGTGAAGTTAAGTACATTTTGTTAAAAAACTTCTTTAATATCCATTTCTTCAATCCGGTCCCGGTTCACCTTTCTCTTCAGTCTTCTTTTGAGTGCTGTTCTAACTTTATTTGTTTAAGCCAAAATAGTTTTTTTTTTTAAACAAGAAGTGACGTGTCTTATTTTCACACAATTTAACAACAAGCAAGTTGCCAGTAGTAAGTTTCTCTGCCCGATGCTCCGCGCCAAGTTTTCCTGGCAAGTCTTATTCTCTCAATTTATTATTTTTTCTTTATACTTTTATTATTTTACTTTATTGTATTTCTGTTTGGACACTTGAAGAAACAAATGCCCCAACGACTTCGGCTTTCACGGCGCGAAAGGCCAACCCTTACACATCACTCGGGAGTCGTGATGGTTTAGTCTATTCACACGATTTTTCATCCAAACTTCTAAAGCGCAATATTGGTTGAATTAACGAAACTAAATCTTAAATTTGTCCAATGTTGTGAAATTTTCCTAAAATCAGAAAGCACTTAGCAAATATTAAAAAAAATTTTTTTTAGATCGCAGTACCTAGAAAAAATACTAATACAGCTAATGATAAAAATATATATGTAAATAGGATATTAATATTGAAAACTTCAATAAATTTTACTGTTTTTTTTTTAAGTGAACGGTTGGGTTAAACAAATTAATCTTAAATTGAAGAAACATAAAACAGGTGCCATGATAAAAATAACAATTTCAGTAAATTATAAAAAGTACCATTGCTATAAATCTGGAAAAACATTGTTTTTATAAATAATGTTTTGTTTAATTATTAAACCCTGACTAAATTTTAAAAATTGTATAGATATTCTGTTAATCTGTTCTCACTAAACACGTGTTTCTGTTCCGGCCTCAATTATATTTTAAAGGTTTGTTCTAAAATTAATTTTTATCCCAGTGACCTGTACTGCACATTAGTTTCTAATTTAGAAAACCTCAGAGCGTCACCAAGCAAAAAAGAAAAACATTAATGCACCATATTGTTTTCAACAGCATTTTTCAATAAGGAATCATTGTGCCTATTTAATTAACATCAGGATTTAATTTAATATCGGCCTTTTTAACGAAATTCACTCTCTTTTTTATGTCTCTGACGAGCATCTTCTCACCGAAATTCATTTAAATTAACAAGAAAGAAAGCACGTAATTGCGGTGAAATTGAAAGGCGCTTGGTCTAATACCGTTACAGCTCTCATTCAGATTCGGTACAAATTAAGACATAATTCGCTTCGGCCAATTGTAAAATTGTAAAAACGCCAATAGAACTGTAATATTTATATGATTTATAGAAAAACCTCTTGATTTTGATGTGTAAAGGATACTATAACAATATTCTAAATTTAAAAATATTTATTAATAAAAAATTATATAAGACTCGAAGACCGATAGTTTAGCAATTTAGTAAATTTTTCATTGAACGTGTAATTGTTCAATGAAAATTAGACGTTATTTGATTATTACTTTTATTAGATTACTAATTGATCATTGCCTTTTGGTTAAATTTTTCCAGACTTTCATTGTAAATGGAAAAGTGCTTAAATATTGAATGACAGGGAACCGACGTTAATTGATAGAGCGTTTGTAAATGTGCAATAAAATAAATGTACCAGGTGTGTTTTAGTCAAGACTTAATAGTAAGTAGTTAGACTTCTTTAAAAACGTGGCCGATTAAGGTGTACATAGACGTGAGTTATTGTTTTATTTTTGGAGCAGACATTGAAATTGTTATCGTGAAAATGTGTTTCCTGCGTTTTGTAAATGTATCGTTACATAAAAGTAATAAGACATATTTTTCACAGGTTGGCATGATTTTCAGGCTCAGCCGTTTTTCTTCCAATATAACATTGTCGTTAACAGACGTTTATCGGAAAATATGGGCGAAAGTCATGAATTTGCAGATGTGCATGGGGGAGGGGGAAAAACGAGAGGGACGGACCAATGTGGGAGAGAAGGTAACAATGTTTTATGTATTTTTTATAGGGTCAGGAGATTAGCGCTTTTCAAACTACTCGGTTGTTCACCAGTTGTACAGAAAAACTGGTTAATTTTTTACATTGTATACTAATGAGAGGACGGATAACCCGAACCGAATAAAAACGCTCAATGGCTCAATGATGTGGATTCTGCGACGCTTTCATTAAAGCTTATACATTAACAATTTTAAACATTTACTATAAATATGTGTATCAAGTACATTTTTTTAAATTAAAACGAGCGTAAGAAAATTTAAAATAAATAAAAAGTCAAGGTCCTAGTTTTGTCAATGATGACAAATAAACACTAAAAAAAGAGAAAAATATAGTCTGACTGTCTTTCTTTATACTTTTTTCTCCCAGCCTTTTTCACTGACAAAACCTGCTCCACTCAAGGCCCAACTTTGTCTCACTCGGTACGGGAAGCCGTCAAAAGCATGCCAGGAGCGTTATTACAGTTGAAGGTTCATTAAAAGGACACCACCGTGTCGGCCCTTATCAAAGGTTTGCTTTGTAATTGTTTCGCGACGTGATTGTGGTATGCTAAATAGAACATCAACTTTTATATGATCACTTTGAAAAGCCATCGAATTTGTGATTATAAACTTTCGCCGTGTCGAATGGTTTGTAAATAGCCGAAAATGTGACACATTTGAAAGCGGCGATGTTGTAACAATGACTGAAAAACCGTCGTCTACGAACTCCAAATGAGAATGCGATAATAGTTATGAGAAAGACATGAATAAGTTTTAAAGAGAGTATCTAACAGACTTATATTTGTTTCTCAATATCTCAGCGTTCATGGGGATTTACTTAATTTATTATTTACTCAATTTGCAAGAAGTTCATAAACATGTGGAATTTACTTAAAACAGTACTTAAAATAAGGAAGCTATGTGCCAAGTTGATGTGAACTTTACACATTTAATACAGTGCCAATAACCTCATCTTTTCTCAAACTTCTTACTGATTCAGCTCAAATTCTTTGATATATTGTGATATTTCTCTGTGGTTTCTCGAGGTGATTTGGTTGATTGTAATTTGGTTATTTTGGACCTCCATACATTGGAAATGGAAATAGCTTTTTACATGACTTTGTGATTAGTCCAATTCTATTGCTTTTAATGTTTTATCTATCTGACATAGAAAAATATGTCGATGTCTGTATGCAAAGAAAAAGGGGTCAGCGGTTGATTAATGTTTAACAAAAATGACTTTTATAAAACAGTAAGTCATGAAGAAAGTTCTTAAAGTTATAAAAAGTTTGGTTCTTAACTCAAATTAAAACTTTATAAATTTAATGAAATTGTTAGTTTTTATTTATGTGAAAACTTTCGTCTAAACTTACTTGAGGGATCGAATCCTACGATGAAGTGCGGACAAGGGTTAGTCGCTACGCTTCCAGCAAGTGTCGCTGGCCAGCAGGTCCAAGTATCAAAAACAGGTTCACAGTGCAATCCTGAAAAATCAAAAAAGTTAACTGTTAAGCAATAAAAATAATAATAAAGTTAAATATTTAGTGTGTCTTGAGAAGGGAAAAATGAGATTAATGTGTGAATTGGTTGACTCTTCTGAAGAAAAAAAAACATTAAGTATTTTTTCTCGAACTTAAGTATATGGTAAGAGAACAAGGAATTGTGTGCATAAAGATTAAAAAAGAAATTTTTAAAACAAAGATTGGCTAACATAATAAAAATTTAATTTAATTGTAATAATATCAAATTATGTTAAAATTGATTTTTTAAAATCTTTTGCTGTAATTTCTTACTTGTTTACCCAAAATGCAGAGAAGGAGGTAGAGTTTAAGTTCGTGATATTTTATTGTAGAAATAGTACATTTCATAGCCTTTTTAATGTATGTAAACGAACTCACCAACATTTCTCGTCGTAACTGTATAATTAACTCTTTTCTTTCGAAAGTTATGTAGTTTGTGGTCATCAGAAACATGTCAGTTTTCTGGCTTCGTCGTATGCCAGTTGAACCTACGTGATGGGCATATTTCTTTCCAGGCGTGATAAAGTTAGTCCCTTATCGAACACAGCCGTTCTATATAACATCCCGAAGGGCTTATTTCGATTTGAACATTTTCTTCGTGCCCATTTTATTTCGCCCGCAGCTGCCGGCTTTAGCCGTGTTCAGTATTTCCCCGAGATGAGGGTTTTAGTTTCAAAAGGTATAAATCAAGTTTTACGTACATTGTTGAGACTGAAGCTACATAAATAAAAATATGGAAACGGATATTATCGAACGTATCTCGTTTTGGAGCCTGAACATAAAAAATGAAAATGGCTAACGTTTTACCAAGCCTCTGCTCTGTAATAGGACAATTCAATCATGATTTATTACTTGAGCTATTGATAATGAATAAGTCACATAAAAAAAAAATAAAAAAATAAAAAAACTTTAGTTGAATCTGCTTTCACGGCGCGAAGACCAACACTTACGCAACGCTTCGTGCTGGTTTAGTCTATTCACACATTTTTCTTATCTAATTTAAGGCATTTGTAAGATTGGATTGAGAAAATTTAATATTTTAATTAAAATATTTGAAGTATTTTTCAGAAAACCAGGCTTAATTTTTCCCGGTTTATAGAATTTTCAAAAATTTAGGAATTATAAATTCAAGAAATAATTAAAAACGTATAATAACATTTCGATTTGGGCCTGGGATTTATGATCACTTTTTAATTTATTAATCACGAATTCATATAACATATAAATATGAATTTATAAAATGATCCCAGGCCCTGAAGATGATCTCAATAAAAAAAGAAACGTTGCCTTGATAAAGAAAATGTTTTGCTGTTAAACTACGATTTTTAAATAATCAGTAATTAACGGTCAGTATACATTACACACAGTAGAATTAATATGCAAAATATACACATGTACAACATTTTAAATTCATAAAGGAAATTAATAAATAACTAAAAGTCTTTTCAGAGGATCTTCGGAAGAGGTCAAAACAGAGAAAACTTCCTTACGGTTTTCGCCGAGCTTTCGACAGTTTTATACTGTCATCTTCAGGCCCTGNACTTGAAAAAAGTAGGTTTTGCCACCCCATTATTTACCATTTCGATTTGTTGTACCATCGCACTTTGGTTTGGAAAATCATTTTCAACATTTATAGAGTTATTTGTGATTTCGACATTGCCATTACTTACATTAATTTGATTATGCCTGAATTCAGTAATTCGTCTATTGATCAATGCCACCGGGTATTCCGAAGTTCCTCTGAAAAGACTTCTTGTATCCAGCAGGTCGATAATCTAGTTCATCGTTATACAATAACTAAATTCAAATATATTAATTAAAATATATTTGCAAGTTCAAACGAACTTAAGATCAATTTGGTTTTCTGATTATTTTGATTTTCAGAATTTCTAAGAAGTCTTAAGTTATCTCTAACTTTGGCCGTTCTTCTACTCAAAAAAGGATAATTAATTAAATAACCATTCTTAATAATTTTTCTGTAAGAACTAATTTTCACCAAACATATGAGAAAGTTCAAAGAAAAACTGAGCTTTGTCGTCATAGTCTTATCTTAAAGAAAAAACTAAAATTTCAACTAAAACATATTTGGATTATAAAATCATACTGTCATTACAATTCATTAAAATTATTGATTTATGAAAAAATTGAACAATAAAAATACAATTTCTTGATGATTAAGGAACGTCCAGAATTTTGAAGAGCTCTATGTTTGACTCTCTGATTGTTGCAAAATTCCTTCTGTTCAATAAAGACTAAAAAGTTAGAAAAACATCCCTCATTTTTTTCCTATAAGAACTAATTTACACGGGACGTACAAGGCCGTTCAAAGAAAAATTGAGCTTTATTGTAATTTATGACTTAATTTAAAGAAAGGCCTAAATTTAACTGAAAAATGATTGGAAGGTCGGATGGGATCCATATCAAGTCAGTAGTCGATGGTGCTCAATTACTCGAGATCGTAAGCCAGCGTTTGTATGCTACTACTCGCGCATTATCGGCAACAGTAAGCCTCTATATTAGAAAACTTGGGGTCTCGAATTATCCGGATAAGATTAGATACTCACGAGAACCAGGCCGAACGATAGCCGTTGCATGCAATTATTTGCTTTCTTCTTACATCCGATCAAATACATTAATCAATGGAAATTATAAATAGGGCGATATACTTGCAAAACGTATATTAACTTCAAGAATCAATATTGGTCGAAAGCTCGTGTCGCTTTTGATGGAGAGCTCAATACTCAATCAAGCGAAATGATTCGATAGTTAAAACGAAATGCAAAAACAATTTGGCTCCCCTTCCTTACATCCGAGATGTAATTTGCCGGTGAAACGCAGGTACTTATTTTTAAGAGGCTAACAGATGGCTAACGATGAAATTAAAATAATTAATCTTTAATTAAGGTTTTGGTTGACATAAAAAGTCAGTGACACGAGCGGGATTCGAACCACGACCTTCGGCTAAATACGCCGCTGCTCTACCACTTGAGCTATCGTGACTTCGTCCAAAACCTTAATTAAAGATTAATTAATTTGAAAGAATTATTTGGTAAATTGAACCACGAAACCTAATAGCTGAAATTAAAAACTTTTTGTTGTTTGACTTAAAGTTAAAAATTTCTATACGCGTATATACATTTTTGAATAATAACTGTAATACAAATTATCTTTCAATTTCAGAAAACAAATATAAAAACTGCTTTTAATTGACCACAATTTGCCTCTAAGGCACCTCAACATCTCGCAAGATCATAATCGTACTGGTTTCACAATGTTTTCTAATCTAAGGCAGTGGTATGATTGAACAAAATTAAATGTTCAATTGTTCAATTAAGTGTTCAGAATATCAAAATTAATTTTTTTAGTTGATACAATTTTTACAAAATTAGGAATTATTATTTAAAATAATAAAACCAACAACTTATTTTTAGATCGCAGGAACTAGTAAAAATGTAATAACACCAAACATCTGGAGTATTGAAAGTAAAATTAATTAGCAAATCGTATACGCAACGTAAAAGTTAAAAAAATAATTTTTTTAAACAATCAAGAAACAAAGTCTTATCTTGTAAGCTGGATTAATAACACAAACCCCAGAGTTCCACATAGCTTCATAGAACTCCGGACTCGACTCAATTGATTCATACCGAAGTTGACTTGTTGACAGACATCGTCCTTGTGTAAATATTTTCCGAGAAAACTACTTTTCCAACTATACTTCCCAGATCAAACTCCGCCTATAATTAAAACTTGCTGGAATTTCGGGCCAGTCTTGTCTAAACGTGAAATTCCCTTTTGGTTATTGACATTACCATCAAACAGATGTTTACAGAGGGCAAAACTACAACAAAAACAAACAAAAGTAACGTAATTGAGTAATCGAACATAAATAACCGACCAACGATGAAAATATCTCTAAGATAAAATAGCTTAATCGTACAATTGCGATCAAATAGATGTTAGCTTACATCACAGAAACAGTATCAGTATTGACTGGTCAATAGATAGTAGAATATTTACCAATCCCATTACCATTTATTTTACTTCATTTTCCCTTGTCCAAATGAACTAAGTTACAACGGTATTATTGTATAAAACCAATTTATATGGGTTATTACTGTTTTTAAAGATTTGCTGGTAATTATTAATATTAGTTTGTAAGAAAAAGTATTACAGTGAGATTTCTCTGGGTCTGAGGATGATGAACTTGCAATTTTATCGTTATCGAGGTCTTTCCATCCCCGGTTAATAATATGTACAAATACGTAAGTACGGACAACAGTCCTCATACATCTTTTAAACTTTACAATTAATTAAGGTTTTTAGTTGAGATGAAAAAAGTTAATGGCACGAGAGGGATTCGAACCCACGACCTTCGGCTAGATACGCCGGTGCTCTACCACCTGAGCTATCGTGAGCTCGATCCACTCGGACATCAACTCCCCATCTCAACCCCACCTTATGAGTTTTCCCTCCTTTTGCCATTTTTCATCTTTTAAACCATTAACAACATTTTACCAACTAAAAAGAAAAAGACCGACGATCTCAAACACCGACCGGAACTTTATGAAAAAACCCAGACTTAATCTACAAAGTTGACAGGAGCAATAGTGGTATTTATATAAATGTTTTTCACGTGAACACGAATGAAAAGAATCAATTATACGTGATTCAAGCACGGGCATAAATAACCCGAAGCGAAATCAATAGGTGTTTCGAAAAAAAGTCTAACGTTTAATTTCCGTCCTGCATATGTTCTCCTTATAAAATGACTTTCAATCGATCTGTTCTACAAATCATTTCCTTTTCCCGACGGAATTAAAGTTCAAATTTAATTATATTTACAGTTTTCATTGTTTCTTTGACCGCGGTAGCCGAGTGGTTAGCATGAGAGATTCTCACGCCGCGGTCGTGGGTTCGATTCCCACCGTCGCCTCTGGCCTTTTTTCACAATAAACCCCCCCCCCCCAAATTTGAACACACATATAACGAATTGTCACATGGCTAATATGCATAGTTCATAACGAAAAAAAAAAATTGTTTCTTTAGGGTTCTTATGCATGAGACATGACATTTTTTCAAAGAAATACAGAAATGGAATTGTTAAAAAAGTAAAGCAATACAGTTATGTATAAATTATTATAAAAACTTAACATCAATCACTAGAAGCTACAAAAAGAGTAGAACGAGAGAAAAATCTCTATTTTTGAAAAATTTAAAAATATCGAAAAGAATAAAATATTTCATCCTGGTGAACACTTGAGTTTTCTTCAATCTCGGAAAGAAAGTCATCAAGAAGGCATCTGGGCATCAGCAAACACAAACACGGCCGTGGTCTGTTTGCACGCAACCGCAAAAACCGATTCAGGGCTTACGCGAACTTTTCGAGGAGCTTTAGAAAGGTTTTGGAAAATACCATCAGTCAAATGCATAAAGACGCAGTTTGAAATTAATTCAAATTTACAAGTTATATGAAATTTAAATATCGTCCACTTCCAGATGACTGCTGAAATAATTTCTGCTAAAATTGTTAAAAATGAATGATAAGTTGGTAAAAAAAGTATTGACAAGCATATTCGTCTGTCGGATGTACTAGATGGTTATCGATGTCATGAAATTAAAGTCTTTTTCATGGATTATTGTTTCTTATTTTCAATAAAACTATATACGAAAGTAAGTTAATGGAATTAGATTTTAAAATATTTTATGCCACAAAAAATTTCTTACCAATCCTACAATGTGGCAAAAATCTTGTTGTATAGAACTGCCATACTTATTTACCACATGATTCGTTTATATAATCCGAAACCGATTTAAAAAAAGACAAAACAAATAATTATAATATAGTTAATTTAATTACCTTCTAATGGTTTAGACTCATTTATAAATTCAAGACACTGTGTCCTCCGGACGTTCAGTATGTCAGCGTTCAAGTCAATGTAAGTCTCGTTAGAAACATCATCCGTCATCTGAAACAAAGAAGTAGGAGTTAACAGAAGGAAATCGTTTGTACCGGGGCGTCACCAGACCAGGATTGGAAAGGCTCGATCACTATGGGAACCTGTTCCGGTTGATAAGACCATCAATGGATATTCGACATCAAAATGGGATTAGTGAATTCCTAACGGCGCCCTTTGAGGAAACAAAACATTGACGACTTTTATCCTTTCCCAAACGTTTTACATTATAGAAATCGTCTTATCTTACATGGAACAACTTCAATGGTATCGTCTATCAATTTATTACGAAGTAACATAATGAATGACAATTTTAAACAAATATCCTTTATTGGAAAAAATATTATTTATAAATAGAACACAAAATGTTATCTTATTTATACTCGACTGTGTAAAAAAAATTGACCCTCGCTTCATGAATTTTTCAATGGAATATCAATTTTTTTACAGGACTTTTAGATGCGATGGCTTGACCGGCTTATCACAGATTTCATGAGGTAAATTTCATGAGCGCTTATTTTCAGAATTTCAAAGGGCTTCCATTTTAATTTAATACTATTTTTATATAATATAAAATTGATACATTAATAAAATATACACATGATGATAAAAACGTATATAGATAGAAAGATAGATATGAGAAGGATAAAAAGAGGGAGAGTGAATGAGTAAGATAAAGAAAGTAGAGAAAAGAAGCAAGATACAATGAGAGAAGTATAGAATCATGAAAAAAGAGAAGTAAAGACAAAAACAGAGTGGACTGATTGCAAAGGATGTGAGAGAGAAAAAGAGAATCAGAGTGAGAAAAAGAAGAGAAAGAAAGAGCGAAAGTGAGAGGGAAAGAGCGCGAAAGAAAGATACAAATTCAGTAAAAGAGAGAAATAAACTCAAAAACAGGAAGTAGATTTATCACAAAGAGATGTGAGAGAGAGAGAGAGAGAGAGAGAGAGAGAGAAAGAAAGAAAGAAAGAGAGTGTGAGGGAGAGGTGGAGTCATAGGAAGAAAGATATAAATTTAGTAAAACAGAGAATTAAATTTGAAAACATGGTGTGGATTGATATAAACTAAGACGATGAGCGTGAAAAAGAGAAAGATGGATAGATAGATAGAGCTAGATAGACAGATAAATAAATAGATAGATAGATAAATTTAATCAATCAAAAGTAATAGGTAGGTTTTTTGATTGAAAATTAAAAAAAAATGTTTCAGACAAATAATGTCTGTCATATGCCGACAAGGAGTCAGACTAGGAAAATATTTTATTTTGCGTTTTTTACATTTAATTTTCAACATTAAATTACTATTACTGTCGAAACTATTATTTACATATGCTTAGAAACGATAAAGATACGAGGTGAGAGCATTGTTTTTAATTAATATAGACACATATTTATCTACTTATTGATTTCAGATAACAGGTAATCTGAACTAATTTCATGTGTCCTAAACAAACGTTTTTTATCCCATGTCTTGCATTATATCGTACACGAGACGTGATCAACCTTGGAAAACGTTAGGTAAAAGGGCCGTTTTAAATTAAAGTTTATGAGTGAATACTAAATAAAAACAAAACTCGTCTAACGATTGCAAAGCCGTGTTTTTTTATGATCTTGGCTTTAATATGACCACATTTTTCCTTATAAGGTTTCATCGCTTAAATGAAATTTTATGTGAAAAAATGATGTTCACATTCCCAAAAAGGGATATATAATGCTGCATGTTTTCGTGACTCTTGTTTCCAAAAGTGTGACAGGAAACGTCCAATTATCCCATGGAATGAACAGGCACCTGACTTTCATCAAGTCGTTGTTCACCAGTAAAATGCTGAGACGATTTGTGCAAATAACAAACTAGTTGATTTATACATTTACGTGTAAGATGACAAACTGTAGTGAACGATTTATTTTATCAAAGCATCCCGCGTAAAAATGTAAATATCGTTTCATCATTTGTATAATAGAAATAGTATTTAGTGAGCAATTCAATTTCAATGAAGGTCTTCGAAATTTCGATTTTTTCAGATGTACAGATGTTATTTACAGAGAGCTTTAAAATAAGTATAACGTGTTCTAAAAATGAATTAATATGTATTTAAGGTTAGTTTCGAAGAATTTTAAATTTAACTTTTGTTAAGATATACGAAAAAAATTTACCGTGAATTTAAACTAATAAAATTATACCAAATCTTTCTTAAATGTTCATGTTTGTATATACATACAAGTTAAATTATTTCTTTTACCAAATCCGTTTTTAAAAATTTTATTTCAAGAAATTACAGAATAGTACTGATATACATTCAGTTTCTTCTAATTTACTAATCTAAATCGAATTTCTCCGGTATGCCTTCGGGAAAATGTAACATAAGACTAGATTGTTGGTTAATACAAATGTTTACAAAATCTCTGGAGTCGGAGAGAGTGCTGATTACAATTCTAGGAACAACACATGCATCCTAGCAGTATCATCAATTTATTTATTTATATATTATATTATTCAAAATTTAAAAAAAACTACAAATAAGGCAAAAAATTTATAATTTCAAAAATTTGAAATTGTAGGTACGATATTTTAAAGCCAAGATTTAATTTGGTTGTTTGTTTTTTTCATGCTACACGTTTAATCTATGTATTATTTTGTTTAGTTTTTGTTTTTTGTTATGCTTTTATAACGATGTATTCTATGTATTTCTCTGATGATCTCCAAAAACTCCTACTGTCTAGTACAAACCAATGTTATTTTTTGTTGTAAAGTTATATGTAATGTTCATTCTTGCAAATAAAGATTTATTTATTTATTTTTTTTTTTTTGACTGGGTCTTCCGACATCTAGGTCATTTCAGCCCCCAACTATGTCTATATTCTATTTACCCTTTCAAACTCTACATTCATACAAAGAAATACATCCATACAGTACACTCATTCCGTTTGGTCGGTGGAGTACTTGATATTCCTCCACCGACCTATACTCAAACTAATCTAGATGGAGTACTTTTATAAATATTCCGCCATCGACCCCGAACATACACACTCATACGCTCTCAACGTTCGAGGGGCGATGATGACGTTATATTTCACCCTCACCCCTCGCCATTCACGCTAATAAATACATGCACTCAAACGAAACATATAGACACACAACACATAAGACATATTATATACAATTAAAAAAAAAAAAAATTCTCCTAAAAAGCGGAACAGGGGACCCAGAAACTCGCTACCGTGTTCGAGAACTCTTCTTAAGTCCGGCGGCATGCCTACTCTCTCTCTGTATGGAGCCAAGGCATGACACGCCTCTATTATGTGGGACACTTCGAGCAGCTTGCGCTGCATAAGGGGCAATAAAGATTTATTATTATTATTAAAGCATAGAACACATAGAAATTAGGTGGAGACTTGTTTTGCATAGTTTTATACTAAACGTATTTCTAATCTTCATCTGAATTGATATGAGTTGATTTATAAAGAGGGTTTAATTTTTTTTTAAATCTTGACATACTCTTTAAATATTCCTTTCAATTCCATTAGTTGTTTATTTTTAATAAATGTATTGTAAAGATTTATTTTTTGTGGAAAAAATTCATACATTCAGGCAAAATATTTTTAATAGTATTATATGCGTTCAGTATTTGTCATGGTGAAACGAATCTGTTTTGTACATGTATTCTCAGCGATTAAAAAAATAAAAGGGATTAATGAACATTGGTCTTCGTTATTTAGTAACACGTTTGTTGTACGTTTAGTTCTTTTTGGTATTTTACGTTCATAAAAAGACCAACAAAATTTGTAAGGCTCACACCTCTCATAACGACCGCATGAATTGTAACGAAGCGTCCAAGCAGAGATCCATGAATGTGAAATCCCATTTCTACTGTCTCTCCTTCAGAAATTAAATATATCCTTAATCTCTGGTTTGGTCCTTAGCACGTCTCAAAACCTCTGTGAATTCCCGAAGGAAAGAAATCCTCCTTACATCCATCTGCACTACTTACATCCCTATGCTCTGGACATAATCGAATACATTAATCTTCCCTCGGTTTGCAATGTACTGAATGTATTGTTTAAAAATAGTATAGTTATAGCCTTCAAAAGCTACGGCTTTCTTTATATCTAAATGGATCCACTGGATAAGTGGTCAATGGAAGTGTTTTTAGTGTGGAATTTCTGTAACTCGGTGTATTGAGCCAAATTGCTTCTGACTTTAGAGATCATCTAACGCCCACCGACCACCCTTTCGACCAAGCCCATTAAGCTTCTTTGTTTTATTTTATTGATAAAGGTAGAAAACCTAATTTGGAACAATTGCGAATTAATAAAACCACTAGAGAACTTGGATTTATCTTAATAACATCGTAAATAAAAATTGCCCTCCCATAATGAAAAGCTTCCTAACTTTTTAATTTGGCTCCTTGTTATGTAGATAGTGACAGTGATGAAGACCCAATAATAAACCTCTTCAAGATTGCCCTCTCTCCTCTTTTTCAATACAGACTCCAGTCAAATAATACATTAAAACATTGTAACTTTATCTAAATGTAACTTACATTTCTTTTGTTCAGACCTTTATATTGTAGTTTGCTTTATTTTGATATAGTTTTATCTTGATGTCTTTAAAATGTTCTATTTTCTGTTAATACAACTGTTTATTATTATTTGTCTACGTGTAAACCTGAAGATGCTTGAAATGTATCTCTTAAAATTTTTTTAGATCGACGCATTTTCAAGCCCAGCAATCCCGTCCGTAATCCATCTTCCTACCTGCTTTTTCGCACACGACTCAAAAACATTCCCACCCTCCTCAAACAACTAAACCGGACATGACCTTTCCAACCTTTCCCTAAGCCACCAGTCTCAATACTCCATAAACCAGTAGCGATGGTTAAATATAGTTAGGGATGTTGATAGTATCCCATTTACAGGACCATCTTTTGCTTATAAGAAGGACCTAACATTGGGATGAATAAATAAAAGCCAATATGAGTCTCAAGTACATAAACAGTTGGGCAAAAGACCCTC